GCAACTCACAAAATTTATTAGAAGTATATTCCCCCCACCAAATCACACCTAAAACATTTGATAATAGCAGAATGTTGAGTTTTGACAAGAGCTCGAAAGGCTGTATATATCTCAAGAATTCAGAACGATGTTTCATTAAATAAACCCAACAATAATGAGTATGATCATCAATAAAAGAAACATAATATTGAGACCCTCCTTTTGTGGCAAGAGGAGAAGGTCCCCATACATTAGAATGAATCAAATCATGGAGAAGAAGAAACAGAAATACTTCGATTAAAAGGTAAAGCTGAAAATTTTGCTAGTTTACATCCACTACAATCGAAATATCACAAGTTTGCAAATTTCTTAAAGCCCCTGTGGATGCCAAAAATCTCAAACGAGAAGATGAAACATATCTAAACGAGAATGCCATAAATAAAAACTAGAAGAAGAAGGACTCAAACGAAAAGAAGACATCCAACACTATAGCGGCAGCTTCAACACTAGTAGCAGCAAACACTGACACTTTTAACTCATCCAAATTATTGTCCCCCCTTCTACGACCTGTCCCAATCACTTCTGAGACTGTAGATCTTGCACATAACAAGAAGAAGAGGAAAAGGTGACTAAATTACCAGAATCACATAACTGACCATAGAAGCAAGATTTAATGTAAGTTTGGAATATGATAAACAATAGAGAGAGACAAGTGAGGTGTGACAACAGAACCAACCTGCTAAAGGCATAGGAGTGCCATCAGCAGTCATGACAGATAGAAGACGAATGAGACACAGAAGCAAAAGATGAAGAATCTGGAGACATGATGTGAAGCATCAGAATCCAAACCCTACAGAATGTGACATACCTAAAGAACTATGAGGTACTGACCTCAAAAGAAGAAGCAGACAGAACTTGTGCTGTAAGGAAGAAACTTCTGAAATTGCTCAGCCAGAGTACTAGGATCGGTGAAGGACCTGATGAAACCACTGTTGCATTATTAGACTGTGGGTTTTGTAACCCTGAGTTGGTCTTGAGCATTAGATTGTGACTGGTTGCCAGACTTCCAAGCTTGAGATTGCTGCTGCGATTGATTGCTGCCTCAACTTAGGACACTGAGCCTTCCAATGACCTTTTTGCTTACAGAAACTGCACTCGTCGAAGGCAACCCTTGTGTAAGGTTTATTTTGATTAGTAAGACTGGCTCGAAGGTACTGCTAACACAGAAGGTTAGAAGTAGAAGCAAAAATTCCCTTTTCAGAATGAGACTTAAGACGTATTTCTTTAGCCAATAACTCACTGACACTGATTCAACAGAAGGCATTGGAGAACGTGCAAAATTGAACCTCTAAGTCCTTCAAAATCACTGCGAAGTGCCGTTTAAAAACTGTACCAACTGTTGCTGCTCCCTATGAGCAATATAGGCACCACATGCCTTTAATTCTGCAGATTCTGTAAGAGTCAATTGATCCCAAAGATCTGTCATAGCAGAATAAAACTCATGAACACTCATATTCTTCTACTGAAGAGCTCGTATGTCATTCTCCAATTGATACTGCTTTGCAAAATTTGATTGAGTAAATAACCTTTGTAGATGATCCCAAACCTCCTTTGCTGTCTCATATTTCGCTAACTGTGCACCTATGGAATGCCCAACAAAATTGTTAATCCAAGTAATAATTTTTGCATTGTTTGCTTCCCAGGCATCTATCAAAGCATCATAACCCTCATTAGTATTCTTAGGTTTCACAAAAGTTCCACTAACATATCCCCACATCTTTTTACCCTTAAGCAAATTTCTCATCACATAACTCCAATACGAATAATTCTTGTCATCTAACCTCACACTTACAGACTGAAGCAAATCGTCTCTTTCAGTAGCCATATTCAAAAAACAAAGAAAACCAGAATGCAAAAGAAAGGAAAACGAAATACCAGATTGCCGAAATTGAACGAATACCAACGAAATACCAGATTGCAGAAACTGAACGAATACCCTCTCTAAAACAATCCAAAGAAATAATGAAAAAGAGGAGGCTAGGGTTTCATTGATACTGTCTAATTCAATTGAATACAAAAAATATGATTTAACCTAAATACAAAGATATATATAGGCTAAATAAAGGAAATAATGAAAAGACAGATCTACCCTTAATAAACAATAAAACAAAATAACCCATATTTCTTAACAATGTGCTATGCTTTTCATTCATAATACAGGGGAAATATATACACAAACCAGTCCACTGTTACACCTAATGCAGTGGATATTTTTACAAATTTGAGTTTGAACTAAATTACATTCAACTAATACAAGACCAAGTCATTCAAATACACCACTTAACCACTGCAGGTTTCAACTAAACCTGTCACAAATTACATCAAAATACAACAAAACAGCAGCTTCAACTACTGCAATCAGAACAACAACTTTGAACACTTGGCGCCAAAAAGTTATTTTAAAAAGTTAACTGAATTTGCTACATTTCCAGCAAAATATCACCGGCTTCAACACTCCTCCTTGATATTTTTGCTGGAAACACCAAGTTTGAGCCTTAAATCTTCAAACTTGGCTTTGGATAAAGCCTTAGTCATGATGTCTGCCACTTGGTCTTCATCCCTTACAACAGACCAACTTAACTTCTCCATTACATTTTGCCTCCCTCACAGCATGGAGCTTAATTTTGATGCGCTTGGTTCTGCTATGTAAAACAAGATTTTTTTCTATTGCCACGACTGATTGGTTGTCACAAAGGATCATAGTAGGACTCATTTGTGTTTGCTTCAAATCCTCCAAAATTTTTCTAAGCCAAATGGCTTGATTTACGGCAGCAACAACATAAATGTATTTTGCTTCTACTGTGGACTGAGCTACGATATCCTTTTTTTGGACAACTAGAAAATAACACTTGAATTCAAGAAGAATATGTAGCTGGAAGTACTCCTCATATCATCAATGGATCCAGCCCAGTCACTGTCAGAGTATCCAATAAGCTGAAAATTTTCAGACCTCTTAAACCATACACCAAGATCAGAACTTCCCTTAATGTACCTCAACACCCTCTTGGCTGCCCTAAGGTGAACTTCACTTGGGTTACTCATAAACCTGGAGATGAGGCTTGTTGCAAACATTTAGTTAGGCCCGGTGGCTGTCAAATACAATAGACACCCTATCAAACTTCTATAAATTCCCCCATCAACCTTCACAGCCCCATCATCTTTGCTCAGCTTCAAGTTTACAACTAGTGGAGTGTCCACTGGTTTGCATTTGTCTAAGTTGAACTTGTTTAGGACTTCATTATTATATTTTCTTTGGCTAACAAATATCCCATGTTGAGTTTGACTAATCTCCATTCCAAGGAAATAAGACCTTTCTCCTAGATTAGTCATTTTGAACTCATTATGCATTGCCTTCTTAAATTCTTCCAACTGACTTGGATTGCTTCCTGTGATGACCAAATCATCTACATATAGTGATAGAATAATGAACTCCCCTTCTAGCTCTCTCACATACAATGTGTGCTCATTTGGGCTCCTCATATATCCCAAACTAATAAAGTAATTGTTGATTCTACTATACCAGACTCTAGGGGCCTGTTTTACCACATAAGCCTTCCTTAGCAGATAAACTTTGTTCTCCTGCCCTTCAACTTCATATCCCTTCGGCTGCTTCACATAGATTTCTTCATTGAGCCAACCATTCAAGAATGCAAACTTGACATCTAGCTGATAAATCCTCCATTCAACTTGGGTTGCTAAAGCAAGGAGAAGCCTAATTGTATCATGCCTAGACATTGGTGCAAATGTGTCCGAGAAGTCCACTCCAAACTGTTGAGCAAACCCCTTGACAACCAACCCTGCTTTGTGTCTATGAACTGATCCATCTGGATTTAATTTTCTTTTATAAATCCATTTAACTTGAATCACTTTTCTGTTTGCTGGTCTGCTTAACAATTCTCAGGTGCCATTATTTTCAATCATGCTTAACTTCTCCTTCATTGCCTTCCTCCAAGTATCTGACTTAGCAGCTTTATTATAGTTTGCAGGCTCAAGTATGGTTGCATTACAACTTTCATAAACCTCTGTCAGAGGTTTGGTACCTCTAACTGGAACATCTTCATCTTCATCTATCCCCTATTGTTTCATCTTGGTTCACTGCTGGTTCTGTTAGCTGTCCCCTTAAGTCTTCATCAATTTTGTTTTCCTCCCAGTTCCATACACCATTTTCATCTATTTTCACATCTCTAGTGATATGAATTTTCTTAGTTTCTGGAACATAAACTTCGTAAGCCTTGGATTAACCACTATAGCCAATGAAAATTCCTATCATGGCTTTGTCATCCAACTTACTTCTTATAACTGCTAGGATAAAAGCATAGCATATACTCCAAAAAATTCTTAGGTTCTCCACTACAGGCTTCACCCCACACCAAGCCTCATATGGAGTTTGATTAACTAAGGCTTTAGTGGAAAGTCTATCGAGCAAATAGACATTAGTGTTCACTACCTCTGCCCAAAAGGACTTAGGCAATTTCTTCTTAGCAACCATGCACCTAACTATCTCCATAACAATCCTATTTTTCCTCTCACTGACTCCATTTTGTTATGGAGTATAAGGACTGCTAAATTGGTGTTTAATTCTAGCTTGCTTGCAAATTGATTCAAACTCATTTGAAATGTACTCACTCATATTGTCACTTCTCACTGTTTTGATACTAGGGCTTGTTTGGTTTTCAACTTGCAGCTTAAATCTTCCAAACACAGCTGCAACTTCATTCTTTTGTTTTAGAAAATAGACCTAGCACATCCTGGACCAATCATCAATGAACAAAATAAAGTATTTGCTCCCACTCAATGAATGTGTCTGCATAGGTCCACACACATCTGTGTGGATGAGTTGGAGTTTCTCAACAGCTCTCCAAGCCTAGTTTATGGGAACTGCCCACTCAACTTGCCAAGTTGACAAGTAGCACAACCTTAGTTTCTTCAATCTGAGGCATATTCTAGACAAGGTTTTTGGTCTAAATTTCTCTAAGACCATGGTAGTGGAAATGGCTAAATCTCTTGTGCCATAACTCAAACTCATTTACTTTAGCAGTATAGGCTTTAGGTTTTGGCTTTTTCAGCCTAATAGGGAAACTTTTCCCCATCAATCTAACCCTTATTAGTTCACTACCTTCACTGTCTAGAATTGTGCAGGACTGGTCCTGGAAATGCAAGATGTAATTCTTTTCTAGCATTTGTCCTACACTAAGCAAATTATGACTTATTTCTGGCACATACAGGACATTAGGAATCAGTTTAACACTTGACTTAGTCTGCACAACAACATCTCCTTTCCCTTTGACATCCACAAACTCTTCATTCCCAACTTTAAATTTGGAGTGATATGCCCTGTCCAAGTTAACAAAATCTTGCAAGTTTGTTGTAATGTGGTTGGTGCAGCCACTGTCTATCAGCCAAGCATCATTGCAAACTTGAGCTGCACAGCAAGATGCCACAAATAGTTACTTAGATTCTGAATTTGGCTACTGATCTTCAACAATCTGGGCTTACTGTGGTGGCTGGTTTGGCTTGTTTTTGAAAACTTTTTCAGTGTGGCCAAATTGCTTACGTGCTTTACATTGAATATTTGGTCTGAACTAGCACCTCTTCTTGGAATGACCCTTCTTCTTGCAGTAAGAGAACGGTGGATACTCTTTCATTCCACTTGATTTGTTCCATTGATTATTGGTTTTCTCCTTCCCTTTCTTATCTCCAGCAAACCTCTTGCTTCCTCTCTGAACAGCTTTGCCTTTAAAGCTTGCCACCATTACACCCTCACTTGAATCCTTTTGTCTCAACAACCTCCTTTGCTCTTGAGCTTGCAGAGCATGCACCAGTTCTGTGAGTGTGATATGTGACAAATTCTTAGAGTCCTCAAGAGATGAGATCTTAGACTCAAACCTCTCGGGTAGGCCCACTAATACTTTCTCAAAAATTCTTTTGTCTGTCATTTCCTCACCCAACAATCTAATTTTATTCACCATATTCATCAACCTATCCACATATTCCTTCACTGATTCTGATTCTTGCATCTTCAGCATCTCAAACTCCCTCCTTAAGTTCAATACATGCATATTATTAGTTGTATCACAATCACCAAACTCCTCTTTGAGCTTGTCCCATGCTTCCTTGGTTGTTTCATACGTAGAGCTGGCAAGGACCGGTCCCAAGCGGGCCCGGGCCTAGGCCCGTTTGGGATTGGTCCCATTTGGGACCAGTCGCTCATGGGCCTAGGACCGGTCCCAAGCCTATGAGCAATTTTAGGACCCAAACCGTTCCCTTGGACCGGTCCTGGGCCTATAGGACCGGTCTTATGGGCCTGCAAAATTTCATTTTCCCCTATCTTTTTTTATATTTTATGGGCAAAATAAAATTTTGTAGGAGGGTTTATGTAATTTTTAGGGGTAGATTAGTAAGTTTTTAAAATTTTAATTAATTTAAAAAATAATAAATTAATAAATAAATTAATGGTTAATTTTAATATAAATGTAATATTCACACAATCACACATTCACGCTTCACAAATAAACAATTAAATAATTTTTTTTATTAAATTATTCATCTTCATCGTCAACAATATTTAAATCATTAAAATCTGTGTTCCTAAAGAGTTTGAGTAGTTCAGGATCTTCAGGGTGTTGTTGTAGTATTCTCTCTGCATGACCCCAATCTTGTAAACACGTTATCACTTCAATCATCTCATCGGTTAAAGAGCATCTTCTGTCTTCAACAATCCGACCACTAGTTGAAAATGCTGACTCGGATGCAATTGTAGAAACCAGCACAGATAAAATGTCACGTGCCATTTGGGCTACAGTGGGAAATCGACTTTGATGTTGGTTCCACCATTGAAGCACATCCATCTCACGTTTCTCCTTCTTCGTCATGTAGGATATGTCCATTTGTAGGTAGCGATTCAGCTCATTTGGTCCATATATGTACGAGCTGGAGCTGCTACTTCCGCCATGTTCCATATACGTCCACATGCTCGATCCTTGATGGAAGTCTTCATTAGGGTCCTGGTCGTCTCTCCTGGACGTTCCACTTGCACTTCCATTGTACCTGTTCTGATATAAAGAAAAAAGACTTTCCAATTTTTGCGTAAAGTCAGTCAAATAAGATGTATATGTAAGATGGAATGCATGAAGAATGATGCATGTGATACTATAACATGTATATTCATAGTTTTAAAAAAAAATTCAATCAAATTGAAAATAAGTAAGGTATAACATGTTACCTTAAGTCCTTAGCAACATTGGAGACTTTTAATTTCAAGAGAAATTAAACAAAAGAGTATCCACACCAAGGTAGAAGAAGAATTAGGCCAAGAGAGATATTTAGGGTTCTTAGAGATTTTGATCTCTACACAAAAATTGATATATCATTTTCTTTATATATGTAGCCTTGTAAACAATTCAATAATTGTTTTGGACTTTCTTAAATAATTCCAAAATTGTTTTTGGAGTTGTAAATAATTCCATAATTATTATGAAGTTGTTACACTTCTTTAAATAACAACATTGGATTAACATTTAATCGTGGAAGGCATCTGTTCTTCGGTTTCAGAATAAAGACTTTCAAGGTCATGTTCATGAAGAGCAGGATCATGGGCAAGAAGCTATTTTGCAGGCTTAGGCTTCTTTGGACAATGTTTGGCAAAATGGCCTGGTTGTTTACAAAAGAAACATCGTCGAGTTTTAGGAGAGCCACGATTCTTTTTCTGGAAAAAATGGCGTTTCTTTTTACGGAAACAGGATTTCTTGTTTTTATGGTAAGACTTTTGGAAAGGAATATTGTCTGGGTGGAAAGTCTTGATTTTGTGGAAATGTTTTTTCTGGTATTTCGGCTGGAAACTAGTAACCGCCTTAAAAACTGCCAGGCAATACTTGGCAACCTCTGGTGTAACAATGCCATGAACACCTTGAACATCGCCGCGTTAATTCTTAAATTGTTCACATAACAATTTAACCCTTAAATTGTTCATATGTTTACAATTACAACCTATTATTAAATCCAATTTCATATAAAGAAAATGATTGATTATGAATTGGAATTCCATTGAATTCCAATTAGCAATTTGACTCTTAAATTATTCATAAGAACTAATATAACCCTCCATTGAATCTAATTCAATGATAATAATATAAATAACTTTATTACCCTTGGTAGGTGCTAGCCAACCTTGGATAATCAACTCTCTTTGGCTATTTCTCCATTCTCCTTAGTTTTTATGTGTGACCTCTTAGGTTCACTGTGGCCTAGCCGTGGGCCCAATATCATAGTCTATTCGATATGTTTTGTCATAAATCTTTATGAACAAAACTCCCACTGATTATGGTAGGCATCTAGCAATGCTCCATAACCCCTAAGTCACAATGAAGATATTCTCCAACGAACCCTTTTATAATCATACATGTTGTATAATCAAATCATTCCGTTGTCTAATCCCAATTAAGAATGGATTCATGGTATGTCAAAATCCTTATTTCAATTTTATATCAAATTGACAATCAATACATATGGAACATGTCACCAAGAAACAACCTTTCAAGTAACATTTTATATACCCCGACTGGAGATTTCCCTTTTCCAATGTATCTTGACATTTGTCTAGGAACTTGATATCAATCTATACCAAGTCAACAGATCCTATCTTGACTATCACTTGTCCTCACACATAAACAACACACGGCCAAATCGGCTTATTAATACATGACATGATTAGCCTCGTGTTTATACACCATATGAACCATATGCGTTTATGCAGAATCCAACCGTGATATCTCAGGTCTAAGGATTAATAATACACTAGTACGATCTTATGATAAATCATTGACTACATTTTAAATGTCCATGTGATTCATCATAAATGGCCATATTCGATAAACAGTTCACTAACCGCTTATCCATGCTAATGCCCTAGTGATATAACTTTTATAATCACCCACACTAATACCATCACATGATATTCTATGGAGGCATTCAACATGCCTACTATGTAATATTATTGCCCAATTAATATTACCCATGTAGGGAATACTTTGATGATTTTGATCTTCTAAAGATTTGTATCATCCGGGCATTTCACATGTAATACATATATATAAATGAAGCAATAAACCACATGTGAAATAAGAACACTTTCTTCTATTGATAAGATAAAATGTATATACAAAATATATACATTAACATATATATACAAAACATAATGCCTTGGAACTGACGACATGTTGGTTCTTAAGGCATACACTAACAGTATAATCATGTCCTAAATGCTAGTCTATCTCAGTAATTATACATTTAACTATATGTACTTTAAACCTAGGATCTACAACAAGGCCATCCATATAAGAATGGAATATATAACCATTATTTCTCGTATTTTTCTTCCATCTTTAAAACAATTTCCATTAAAACGTTATTATATCTATATTTAGCAAAAGTTTTAGAAATTTGAAGTAAAATATCTAACACTAAATTAGTAGTCGGATAATAAATACCATTTAATGTATTAGTGGAATCATAAAAAATATTAAGAAATGAATAAAAAAGTTCACAAACCGCTCAATCATCATAGCTGACAACTTCCTCTGGATGGTTCTTTTGGTTGACGAAATATGTAATTTGTCTTGCAGTTGGCAAAACTTTTTCCAACATCAAGTAGGTGGAGTTTCAACGGATAGGCATGTCTGTATATAACTTCAAAGGTCGAACCGGTGGGTCCTTTTGCCTACAATATTTGACGTATTCTTGCCATCTTTTGTTGCTACCGCCGATGATAAATCCAATAGTCGCGCACACCTTCTCCATCTTCGAATGTATAACATCTAAACCTGCTTTAACAATCAAATTGATGATGTGGCAAGCACATCTCTGATGAAATTTTTTGCCTTCACCACGCGAATACAATCTCTTTTCAAATAAAGAGATTGTCACGGTGTTAGCAGCTGCATTATCAAGCGTTGATGCTACAACTCTATTAGTTAATACACATTCTTGCAAAACTTCAAGATTTATAAAATAAATAGTGTCAGCACTATGTTTTTCATATAATGGTTTAAAACCCATCAATTTTTGTTGTAAACCCCAACTATGATCTAAGAAATGTATTGTGACAGTTAAAAAATCTGTTTTTGATCTACATGCCCAAATGTTTGATGTAAGTGCAATAGATATATTCCTAAAATTTTGAAATTCGTTTTTAAGTTTATTATTTATTTTGTTATAAAATTTTAGTATATCTCTTCTACTTGTACTTCTACTAACAGGGGTATATGATGGACAAAATGCAGTTTTAATCATGTGAATAAAACAAGGATTTTCATATAAACAAATGGGAGAGTTCATAGCAACTATGAATCTTGCTATTTCCTCTCATGCAACATGTGCATTGTATTGACATGTTGAGAGAGTTGAGGATTGTGGATTAAAATTAAGTTGAGTTTGAATTTGCCTACTTGATCAGGTTGAAGATGTACAAGACAACTGCATTATTTGGGGGTGCTTCTGCTCCAAGTGTTGTCGTATTATCGAAGTCCTCTTCTCAATGCCAATAATGGTTCCACAGAAATTACATACCCTGCGCGATTCTTCCCCTTCCCCATTTGTCTTTGGCTGTTTTGTTTTGGTGAAGTGTCGCTATACATCGGACACGACCCTCTTTGACGAAAGGGGGGTTGGGCCATGCCCGTGCCCGTTGAGTCATAACTCGCTTGTGTTTCGCTGCACCTCATTCTGGCTGAATGTGGTTGTTGAATGGCAGTTGTTGCCTCTGGAGGAAAGGGTGAAAATGGATCAAACCCTTCCATTTCTTCCGTGGACGGAATGTAAAACTCATTTGGGGATGATCCTCCGAATGCATTATTTCGGGAATCCATTATGAATTTATGATAAAATAATAAATAATTAAAATGAAAAAAAATTAAATAATAATATGAATAAGAGATGATATTGAAAAATAGAAAAAATTGAATAATATGAATAAATTATAAATATAAATTGAATGAGAATTTGATTGGAGATTTGGAGTAGAGAGTAGAGAGATTGGGTGGTGCGGAAAAAATGAGAAATTTAG